CTTATTGCAGAGATGAGGAAACTAAGGAGGTTTGAATTAATGACCAAGCATATAGTGGGTAAGATCTGAGCCAGAGACCCTCATTCCAGAGCTCTAGTTTTGAGCTACCATATTACATTGTCTCATTATTTCTTTCTTCTACACATGCTGCCAGTAAAATAGGATAACATATTTAGCGACAGGAGAATCTCTGCAAGTTTGTCAGAAACAGACAAGTACAGCACCTCATCAATAAGTCTATTTAAAAACTGTATTTTGTTAAGATTCTTGAGTTCTAGATGAATGCTCTTAAAGCTAAGGTATATGAGCTGGGTGCTGGTGGCTCACACCTGTAATCCTAGCTACTCAGGAAGTTGAGATTTGAGGATCACAGTTCAAAGCCAGTCCAGGCAGGAAAGTCCGTGAGACTCTTATCTCCAATAAACCACTCGAAAATTGGAAGTGGTGCTGTGGCTCAAATGGTAGAGAGCTAGCCTTGATCTGAAGAGCTGAGGGACAGTGCCCAGGCCCAGAGTTCAAGCCCCATCTGCTAAGATTGTCCTAGAGGTTTACTAATTATTACAAGTAAGGGAAAACATGAGACCTGTGTGTCTTTGGGTGTGGCTTACTTCACTTAATATGAGTTTTTTCCAAGTCCTTTCATATCCTTACAAGTGGGCAGTGTCATTCTTTCTGTTGGAAGCACAGAAGTCCATTGTATATAAAAAGAGACATTTATTCATATTTTTCTTTATGACTTCCTCACTAACATCATCAACCTTTCATTTGAACCCTACTTTATCATCCTCAAATTGACTTTATTTCCACATATAATTCCTCCCTCATAGCTACTCTGGAAGGAGAAGACAAGAGGTGTTCTGGATTTTACAAGAAAAAATGTGAAGAATGAATAATAAACACATGGAACAAGTCTAGTTTGTCTCTAAAAAGTTAGAAACATTTTCTGTCATTTTTGCTTGTGAAAGTATTGAGAGTCTGTTTGCTATCAAGTACCACCAACATCACCACCACCACCATAAAATACATATATCTTAGCTTTTTTTTTGTCAGTAAAGCTCTAGGACAATCTTAGCAGATGAGCAGAATAGCTCAATAGCTATGTACTTATGACGATATAATATGATGCTACATGAAATGAACTCCAAGACATGGACACAAGAGGGTTTTATTTGTTGTTGTTGTTTTTAATGTACTATGTGATTTCTTTTTTCTTTTGTGTTTCCCCTTTCCTGTATTTGATTTGGGTGCCCTGAGTATTGTATAGTTCATCTAAATTAGGGAAGGGAAGGGGAACAAAAAAAAAAAACGATGAGACAAAGGACTAAGGGGGAATCAATGTAGCAGAGATACTCACAAGACAATATGTTAGAAATGATCTGTACAACTTGTGGGGAGATAAGGGGAGAGAAAAAATGAGAAAAATGAGGGAGGGGGTAACAAGTTTGACAAGAAATGTACTCATTACCTTATGTATGTAACTGTAACCCTTCTGTATGTCACCTTGACAATAACATTAAAATCAACAATAAATAAAAAGGAAAAAAATAAAAATTCAGAAATAAAGACAATTATTACCATGAAGGGGAAAAACACATCTTTTGTGCCCAAGTCTCATGGAATGAATTATGTACGATAATGCTTCGGGTATTTAATTGATGCCTTTTTTTTGTGGGGGGGGGTCGGTTGTGGGGCCTGAACTCTGGGCCTGGGCACTGTCCCTCAGCTCTTCAGCTCAAGGCTAGCGCTCTACCACTTGAGCTACAGCGCCACTTCCGGCTTTTCTCTTTTTGCTCATGTGGTGCTGAGGAATTGAACCTAGAGCCTCATGCATGCAAGGCAAGCGCTCTACCACTGAGCCACCTTCCCAGTCCTAATTGATGCCTTTCTGTTCCTCTGATTCTCCCCAATACCCTGCTCTTCCAGCATTGAGCTTAGACTGCTTACACTTTATTTTGGGGTAGATATGATTTTCCCTCTCAGGAAACTGTGAACCTCTGGAGTTGGAAGCTATTTTCTATTGAAGATGGTTTGTCCTTCTGAGATCTCATCATACTTGTATATATTTAAGTGTTAGAGAATGAGAGTAATCCTAGAAGACTGAGCTCATGTATCTGTCTCTCCTAACGTTGTTTCTATATGTTATCTAAATGTGGTTTATTGATATAGAGGAGGCATTTTGGATTGCTGAATAAATAGAGTAAGTTTCTAAATTTTAAAGCAACCACATACTAGTGACAGATTAAAAACAAAGTTTGTTTCTGATGTGCACAAATCTTTTCTGAAAGCAGACACTTCTCTAAAAAGAGAAATAGTACAGTAAATTTGGGCTAGAGCATCGGGACTATTTTTACTTATAATTCCTAAAATCAGCTTGCCTATTTCATGGACATTCTTGATAAATGAACAGGGTTATCTCACTGTTTTATAGTAGTACTAAATCTAAACGAGGAACCACATATTGTAAGAGAGCTGAATCATTTCACTAAATGTGAAAAGACAATTTGAATTCTGGAAGAAATATTATGAACAGGTCACACTGAATACATTAAACGGTCCCTTCTTAAAGAACATGGACATAAAATTTCACATAGGCCATAGCAGGAAGAAAAGAAACACAAATATTGTTCAATGATAATGATCATTAACAGAACATCATATCTGAAAGTAGATTAAATCTACTTATGCCAAAAGAGCTTATGAAACAGATCAGACAAATTTAGGGTCATATACTTGTTTATTACTGGACATTTACTACAAGCTTCTGAACTCATTCAACAAATCTGAAATTTCTTAATAGACACTCATCTCCAAAATTGAAAAGAAATTATTGAGAAATACTCCAGCCTAAAAAAATACTGCATCCAAATTTATGCCAATTGACAAATGATAAGTTAATAAACTAATAACTAGAGATGGTATATTCACACAACTATAATTTCCATGTCAAATAGTAATGAAAAAACCTACACTCTTGGGCTGGGAAGGTAGTTCAGTGGTAGAGTGCTTGCCTTACATGCATGAGGCCCTGGGTTTGATTCTTTAGCAGCACATAAGCAGAAAAGCCGGAAGTGGTGCTGTGGCTCAAGTGGTTGAGCACTAGTCTTAAGCTGAAGAGCTGAGGGACAGCACCCAGGCCTAGAGTTCAGGCTCCGTGACCAAAAACAACAACAACAAAAACATACTCTTAGCTCTAACAGGAAGCATAGCTCAAAATCAAATTTCTAAACTCTTCATACCCCAATTGAGAATTCATAATCTTATGCCTGGAAAAAATATAAATTCTGATTATAATATCAAAGCATAATTTCTGGTACCATATAATAAAGCCATTCACCAGATATGTATTATCCTTAAGCTAATGGCTCTTGGGTCTAAGCTATACGCATTACATATTTATTATTAGCATGGACAACAATGGGTACAGAGTGAAATATGTGGTCTGAGGATCATATTGCTTATGGCACCTCTAAGATTGATAAAATTATCCTGCATGTGCCATCCTCAGAGGACAGTAAAGAGAAACGTTCTGTCATTGCACTAGAGATTAACTCTGCCTCTTTCCTCCTAACTGTGAATGGTGTGGATATTGCTCGATGGTACACTGTTATCTTAGTGTTCATTTACTGCATGACACACCAGACGATAAGCCAATCCTGGTAAAGAACCCCACCCTCTGTTCTACCTGTATGTCCCAACACCTCCAGAGCAAAAGTATTCATGTATAATGTTGTCAATACATCTTTATTGGCCTTGTGAAAAATTATAACTTCCACAAAAGAATAAATCTAAAGCTACATCAATTCATAGGATTCAGAAGTTTCTCTAAACCTTTACTTGGGTTTTACTTGCATATCTGAAATCATCAGAAACATATTCTGACTTCTTGTCAGAAACAGTCATTTTGCTACAGTCTCTCTAACCAATATTAAGGGAAGGAAGAATGTAAATTCAATCATTAACATCATTACTCTAAAACATCCTTTTGTAGCATTTAAGAAATTAGCCTCTTATACCACTTGTCAAAGTCCAAAATCCCAATTGCACCCACAAGTGGACAAATGTCAAAAATAGCCTTAGGTAATTTTATGGAAGGGGATTTCTCCTGCCTCTAATGGCAACAGTAACTGTTTACTACACTATACACAGTCTCAGGGAGTTTCTAGCATACTATACTAGTGTCTGATGTCAAGGATTCCTCTGTGTTCAGCAAAAATGTGGACATGAGTTGGCATTCTCAAATAGAGTTTGTAGCTGTATAGTCTTGGAATGCACCTACCCAGGTTATCTGAATGTATTTATTTTTTTCTACTTTTTATTTCAGTTTTAAGGTACTACGCCTAAACATCCCAAATAGGAGATACTCTCACATCATCAACTGTGTTAAACAAAACCCATACAAAAGTGTTTCATTATCTTCTGTGTGTGTGTATGTGTGTGCAAAGTATGTGTGAAGTAAATTATATAAAATACTACAATCACAATAACCTTAATGAGTACTAAATCATATATATATATATATATATATATATATATATAAAGAGAGAGAGGTCTATGTATACATGGCAATATAGATTTTGTCTACTTTCTTTGATATGTATTTAAATTTACACTTAAATCATTATAATTACCATTAGATTACATAATTGTTAGTGAAAACTGCTTATAATGAAGGAAGCAAAAATGACAGAAAATCACCTGAGTAAACAGTGCTTTTTGGCTGTGCATTGAGTGTGTTAACCTTTCATTTACTATGAAGAGGTAAAAAGTAATTTCATATTTATTTATCATTGCATGTTCATTTAGTATCATGACTCCATAATACAGCCCCTCTTCATCTTAGGCTCTGACATGCCTGAATAAATGTATTTTATCCTAACTTTGAAACAAGAGTAAAGAATGACAAGAGAGAAAAATGCAAAAGAGAATGAAATCTTAGGCAAGGAGGGACAAAGCACAGGGAGATAGAGGCTTTCAAAAGCATTTAAAGAGTGATCACCTACCAGCTCTACTCGTCCAAAACCTCCAACTCCCAAGGTGTCAATGATGTTGAAATCTGACAGCTTCAGGTTGGCGAAGAAAGCAGCTTCAGCTTCATATCTGGATTTTTTGATGCGAAAAAATGGAAATTTCTTAGAGGCGCATACACGAGGTCTAGGTACAACTGCACTGGAATGACATGACTCTGAAACAGGCTTTACCTGCTTAAATTCCATCTTGCTTTTAGAGTCTGTATTTTCTCACACCATAATTTTTTTTTTTGGTCCCAGTTGTTCAGAATAACATAGATTTGTACTCTTTTTTTTTTTTTTTCAAAGTAGAAAAATACAAAGTACCCACTCCATGCCAGTCAAGTGACTGATTTAGGTCAATTATCAACTCAAGTTTACATCTCAGTATTTTTTCTACGCGTCTTCTTGTGAGCATGGATTGTTTGACTTGTTCTTTGTTGGTTTTGCTTTGGGCTTTTGGGGTTGGCTTGGTTTTGTCTTTGCTGTTCAGATATTGGATGGCAGTTTCTCATTAGTTTTCCCTTATCCACGGGCTGGTAGTGCCTCCTATCAGTGTTTATGAAATGCGGAAAGATCACGGAGGTCTCTGGAGCAGAATCGCAGCCAGGTTTTATGCAAACAGATCCGAAAAGCTGAGGATTGATGTGCCAGCGTCTGAAATGGAGGATTTCAGGAGCATATCCACATCCCTAAAAAAAACGGGTCTTCCCTGCAACTATATGAACCCTCTGACTCCGAAGCTAGTAATCTTTATTGGCAAGTCTCTTATACAACTGGTGCGAAGCATGGTCTAGTATTCCGAAAGTGCACACATGTGAATCTGACACGTGTGAGTGGCCAAAATAAGCATCTCCCTATGAGAGGGAGTGAACATGAGCTGCTTAAAATAGCTCCCTGTTAAAGGCCCAATTATTTTCGGAAAGGGCAGGAAGGTGTAAAGATGAAGATGATCTTCCCACTCACTAAAGCCAGATCAGGGAGCAATTCTGCTGTTTCAAATTTAAAGCGTTCAAACAGCTATTCCCATTCAGAACCTTCAACCCAACAGTGCTTGGTTCCGTCCTATACTATACATAGAAAATGATGGATATACTGAAGGAATGATACTAACCCGGATTGTGTGACATCTGCTTTTGAAGCGAATCCGCCATGGTCATGTTTGGCGTATTTCATTAGAGTCAAGCACAATTTGAGACTACTTAGGAGACAGTGAAAGAACTCTTAGCCCTCTTCACTGCACAACCACAGTTTTGGTTTTGTGAACATGTTTATTGTCCACAGAGTCACAGCATTAACAATAAAAGTGAGAAGCAAAATTTAAAGAAAAAACAGGGAAAATTTTCATTGTTTATTGGCTTATTAAGTAAAATCACTCCCTTTAACGAACTTCAGAAGTATCCATTAGTCAATCCTAATGGTATTTGTGGCTTTCTCTTATTAACAAGACAATCAGAAGATCATCACGGTATATCAGGAGCTGGTTTACTAGGATGAGGCTTAGAGGCAGATGGCAAATGTACATTTCTAACATTCCAACTAGCTTGCTCTCACTGCTTTGAGAATATTACACTTCATTCCCTTGAAAGGGCCAGTGGCAGAATTGATTCCAACAGGTGTTTTAAGAGAACATCTGTTAGGATTAAACTCCTTGATAGTCTATATATGGCCAAGTGTTTACTGGTGGAGTGGATAAGCAAATCCTTCATAATAGTGCTATTTTTTGAAAAAATTAAATCACTCATTTAAATGTTTTAAAACTCATGTTCACGCTATTTTATCAGTCTCATAAAAACATAGAGCAGTCCACAAAAGTCTTAAATACATAAAATGAGATGTATAGCTGTATTCTTTGTGTGTATGGTGTGTGTTTGGGGGAGTGTCTGTGTAGATGTACATGTGTGTATGTGTTTCTATGCATGCACATATGTGTATGAGTACTGTGGCTTAAACTTCAGGCCTGATGCTATCCTTGAACAGTTTGCTCAAGGCTAGCACTGTACTACTTGAGCCACAGCTCCACTTCCAGCTTTTTTGGTAGTTGGAGATAAGAGTTTCATGGGCTTTCCTGCCTGGTTGGCTTCAAACTGGAGCTAGGAATACAGGTGTGAATCACTGGTGCCTGACATAGATGAAGTCATACTGCTTATTTAATTGCTGAGTTTTTAAGATATTGTTGGTTATGTAATCAAAATCTTTATTATTTAAAAATAACATGTTGTGTTGAAAACCCCTTGTCCAATGACTTAAAGATATTTAAAACAAAATAACAACATAATTTAACATTCTATATAGCAAAGTATTATCTACTTAAGATGTTACTCAAGCTACAACCTATCATTACTTGTGCAATCATCATTCATGTTCACAATAAATTCCAAAATCTGTAAGTTCAAAAGTCTTTACAGGATGTTAAACACTAATAGAAATTCATTTCAGTAAGAAACATAGTTCCTGATGCCTAGTTATTTAAAAATATAAAAACAAACAGTGTATTCTCAAATGGTCCTTTGCTTAGTTTGAAAAAGTTAAAATATTTAACTAAAATAACAAGAACAACAATAATAATATTTTAGTGTAAGATGGACCCTTTGCCTAGAAAAGTGTGAATGCTGCTATATGCATTGTGCTTATAAATATTGGAAGCTTACAAAACCCCAAAGCAGAGGAAGAAAATAGTAGAAAGTGAGGTTTTGGCCCAACAGTACAGCTCATGTTTAGTATGCATAAAGCACTGCATTTAATTCACAGCTTTAAAAAAAAAGAAAGAAAAAGGGAAAAGAACACAAAAGGAAAAACAAGAAAGAAAAATAAAATAAGATAAGCCAGGTGGCTCATGCCTGTAATCCTAGCTAATTAGGAGGCTGAGATATGATGATAGCAGATCAAAGCCAGACTGAGCAGAAAAGTCAGTGAAACTCTTATTTCCAATTTACCACACACACACACACACACACACACACACACACACACACACACACACACACACACACAACAAACAAACCAGAAGTAGCACTATGGCTTAAAGAGGTAGAGCCTTGAGTCTTGAGCAAAAGAGTTCAGAGACAGCTCCTGGATCTTGAGCTCAAGCCTCATACTAAACAAAATAAAATAAAATAAAGTGAAAATAAGCCATCAAAAATCAAAGAGTAGAGACCAATAAGTGATTATGTTGGACAAAGAAACAGGTGTACTGTATCATTTCTCAAAGATTTCTGATAATAAGATTTATCTAGGTGTATGGTGACTGATTAGAAACCACAGACAACATTGAATCCTTTTTGGATCCCCTTTCCAGCACAGAATACTTTTCTTTGAAGAACTACTGGAAAGTAACAAGATGACCTTGATTTTTACCTTTGTTTTTTTCAATTCTGCTTTGAAATTGAATTCAAAGGATGATTTAAAAACAAAAGAATTGCAAAGCTACAGGTGTAAAGATGATATTAAAATACACACACGGTCTAGAAAGTACAAATCAGTACTCTATAATATGATATGTGTTTCTCTCTCCCCCTTCATCTTTCTTTCTACAGCCTCTAACCTTCACAGTATTATTCACATTTCTCTATGAAATAGGTACTTTTCTATTTCTACTTCTTCCATTAATAACACCTTCCACAAAAACAAGGAGTAAAAATCTAGTGTCCTTTATTATTTATAATATTTTTATGTAATTGACATAAAACACAATGAATTATTTCATCATTTTAATTTAGAAGAATCTGGTGTTATACCTTTGGCTTATGACTGACTGATCAGTATTGTTCAGTAATCATATCATCATATTTGAAACAAATATGATGCTTCATCCAGGACAAAGCTAATAGGGCTTAAAATTTTGTCTTTATATAATTTTAATATCTATCTAAACATCACTAAATAAGCCTATAATATTATGTGTTCTTTGCAAAATAAAGAACAAGCTTCTAAAGTAACATGCCTATAATTATGAGTAATTAAGAACAAGTTGCTCAATTTTCTTTTTTTAAGTATACACTTTAAAAATTAAAAACAAATGACAGGAATTTAAAGCAAGTCCTACCCGGAATAGGAGTATTCGTGGGAGGGGGAGGGCAAACAGAAAGGGGGACAGAGGGTAAATATGAAAAAAAAAGACAATTTATGTTCTTAGGTAGAAATAGAATAAAGCACTTTTGCTGATTTGGGAAAAGAGAAGGGGAGAGGAGAGAAATGGATGGAGTGGATGAGTCTGATCAAGGTATATTGTATGTATATAAGGATATGTCAAAATGACAGTCCCTTGTATATCTAATTGATGGTAATAAAATGTGGGAACTCTTAAAAAAAAAAAGAGCCAGTTACATGATAAGGTGATGCCTCTCATTTGCTTTAGCTCAGCTCATCTAGCATCAAAATCTATACTTAGGAGTACTCTAAGTCTCTAAGGAGAAGTAAACAAGGCTGGACATATGGTATACTCCTATAATTCTAGCAATCTGGAGGCAGAGATTAAGTATTAGCATGTTCTAGTCTTTATGCCAATCATTTGCTTGAGTTTATATGTTCTTGAGCACATTTTTTAATTCCTTTTGGGTTTGGGGGAATAGCTACAAAAATAAATTTTTTCAGTAAACACTCATGAATTCTCATCTATGAGTAAATTTCTTTTTGTATCTGTAGTAAGAAAGATGCAAGTCAGACAGACAACTAATTTTACCTTGGATTTAAAAATGATTCAAGAGACAATGATGGCAACAGACAGTTTGTAACTTGTGGTTCTATTCTGCTAATGACTGTGTCCTTCCGGGTCCTGATTTGTTCAATATTTAGGCATTTCTAGAAGCATTGGTAAACAAAAATTTAAGTTAATGACTATAAAATTTGTGACTACTTCACGTCAAAATCTAAACTGATTTGAAAATCCATGGAAAAGCTTAGAAAACTTGTTTTATTTTGAATGTGATCAGAGAGCACTGATATTTGAAAATACATGTCCAGAGACAAATACATGTCCAGAGAAATAGTTAAAATGGACAAGAACTTTCAAAAGTAGAACTTCAAGCACAAAATATGCATTCCTGGTTTACAACGAATGTAAGATACAGAACTGATACATAAACTGAATGG